CAGGAGCCAGGAAACCCCAAGCAAACAGGCACCCAGAGGTTGGCCGTGGCAGACCCCAGCCCCAGCAGGGAGGAAATGGAGAGCAGGAGCCCCCAGCAGCCAGCCAGGAGCCCTTGTCCCTGCACTGCGCAGGGCTCGTTAGCTGGTGACTCGCTGCAGCTGCGGCTGCTCAGGGCCCTGGCCCAGGCCGGCGCCCTAATCAGGGTCCCTGCCTGCACCTGGGAACAGGCCCAGGGCGCCCCGCGTCCTGCAGGGACTGTGGGGCTCGGTCCTAGCCAGGGTGTCTAGCTAGCCTCTCTCGCAGCGGTGCTAGTAAAGAAACCAGCCCCGCAGCACGGTGCCCCTCTTTGAGAGAAAATCGAAGGTTTCCCTGCTGTCGTGTCCTGCAGGAAAGCAGAGACTGCCCTGGCCCAGGGAACCCGCGTGGATCAGGACAGCTTCCCGACCCCGGCTAGGCTGGCGGGACAGTGCCACGTCTTCTACGGTGGAAGGGACCGGGAGAGCTCGGCTGGGTTTGGCCCTTTGTGGGAAGGGGCCGGCTGGCAGCAGGAGAGGAAAGGGCAGAAGACAGCGCTTCCTTCTCCCCTCTCTCCTTTTCTAATCCTGTCCTGTTTTCTCTGGAGAAGCCTCCCTTGGCAGGTTGGAGCAGTCCTTGGGGGTGGGGGGCAGTTAGGGTTAGGGTTCAGGGGTGAGATGGGAAAGGTAAAGGGGTGTTCAGTGCAATCCCTGGTCTTCCTGCAACAGTGCCCCTGATAAAAAGGGATCTGGCCACCACGAGCCAGGCCGTGTCCATTCGTACAGATGTGCAAAGCAGAGCGTGATGCTGTGGGTAAGAAGATCACCCTTCCTGCCCATCCACATGTGACTGATTTCTCCCCAAACGCCCTTGCAGCTGCAGCTGGAGAGGCAATGCTTGTTGCAACAAAACCCACACCCAACAGCGTCCTGGGCTGCACGTAGCAAAGCCCAGGGGGTCTCGGGCAGGCTGTAGGCTCCCGGCAGCCTGTCCCAGCCGGCTTCCCTCTCTCTGTGACCATCTCTCCTGCCACGGCTTGAGGCTTCCCCGGCTCTTCGGGGGACTGTCGTCACCAGCCGGGCTGCCAGTCCCACAGCCTGCTTTCCCAGTGAGGACACAGGGCAGCATAGGGTAGAGGGGCTTCTGTAGGATTTTACGCAGAGCACTTTCAAAGACATATTTTTGGCAAACGAGAAGGTGAACTTCCCCTGCTCTAGCCCCAGCATCACAGCTGGGAAGCTGCTAGAGAGCGCAGGTCTCGGACACCCCACGGTGCGGGGGTGCAGGGGCTTGCACAGCCCCGCGTGGGCTAGCATGGAGGGGAGAAAAGGCCCTGGGTCTCCACGAGCTGCCTCGGGGGGAAGGAGGGGGCACGCGAGGCACAGATCCGCGGAAACAAAGATGACAGGCTGCGAGGAACAGCCGCATGAAAGGCACGGGAGTGACGTGCGGCAAAGTGGACTCCGGGTAAAGAGAAGGGAAGATAAAGAGATGGGAATCAAAGGCTATAAAACACAGTGAGAGGAGGGAGGGGGGAGAAATCACATCCAGCTCCTCCAAAAGCTGAGGAGTGGAGAGATGAAAGAAGGGGAAGAGCATTTGAAGGAGAAAGGGGGGAGCAGGGGGAGAGAGACACGGAGGGAGGGAGCTGGTTTAGGGGCCGGGGATTAATGGGGAGGCTTTGGGGTGCTGCCATCCTGCCCGGGCCGAGCGCGCTATAACGGGCGGCGTGGGGCAGGGAGAAAGCTCACCTCTGGCTTGCTCCAGGGCTGAACGAGGCCCGGGGCAAGGAAGAGGCTCCCCGGATGCAGGTTGCCCCAGCCATGCGGCCCAGGACCCCAGCAACGCTGTGCCCTGTGGGCATGTGCCCATCTGCTTGCCACCCCGTCCCTAGCACCACTTTGACCAGGTTTGCAAGGAAGGAACAGGGGGTGACCCGATGCTTTGCCCGGTGGAGGACACCCTCTCCCTGCTGCCTGCGGCGTGTGCCCCTCTGCATGGGGGCACGATCTGTCCCCTGGGTGCTAACCCTGAGCTAGGCTTTTCTAGCCCAGGTACTTTGGGGCAGGAGGTCCTTTATTGGGGTGCCGTGGGGAAGAGGATTGCAGCAGGGCTCTGGCATCCCCCAGTAGCTGAACTCTGCCCTCGCTGGGGTCAAAACAACTGGGCCAGAATCACCCGGAGGGGGACTTTTCTGTGCTTGGTGACTGAAGAAGACCCCTCGTCTCCCCTCTCTGCGCCAAAGCCTGCAGTGTCCTGTTCCTAGTCTCTCGCCTCTCCTGCCCTGTCCTGCCACTCAGGTCTCAGCAAAGAGGAGCCTACAGAAATCTTCCTGCACTTGACACGTTTCCAATGACAAAAGGAAGTGGAGGAGCTCATTACCCTAGCGGACCCCCCATCAGGACCCTTGCCCCGCATGCCCTCTCCTTTTCATCTCCTGCCCATCCCTCTCTTCAGAGTCAAATGCTGCCGGCCCCCGAGGTGAGCGGCGCGGAGAACGGGTTTGCTAGCGACACACTTGAGCAGACAGCCTGCCAACCTGACCTCCTCTCCGCGCCCGCCGTGCCCCCCAGGCCCTGCTCCGCAGACACGATTTCCTCGCCCCGCACCACTTCACCTTGTGCTACAGCTCTGTCACACGCTAACTCCAAACAGCTTGCCGGCGTCCTGCGGCTGCTGTGTGTTCATGCGTCACACAGCTCCATCTCGCCTTTGCATCAAAGGCAGCCCCGCCAGATTGCCTTGCTTTTGACATTTCCTGGCTATTGTTTCACAAGCCAAGGAGCGCTGTTTCCCCAGCCGCTGGCCTGCACGTCAGAGGGTCTCCAGAGACTCCCGCGCGAGCCCCCTCCTGCAGCAAGCACCGTCTCGCAGCAGCAATGGTCTTGGCAGTACCCCAGTCCCTTCCCAGTCCTGTCCAGTTAGTAGCTATTAGCGGGGCAGGAGGCAAGGACACTGACTGCTCCCATCCATAGCCATAGCCATAGCCAGCCTTATTCGATACCAGGGGGTTGGGCAGATGGTGGGTAGGTAGACAGACAGACAGACAGACAGACAGACAGACAGACAGACAGATAGATAGATAGATGGAGCCCCTGCTTTACCTGTGGCGGGTTAGGATGTTATGTCAGCATCCTGTTTTATGTCTCGTGCTTGTGTCAGGGTTGAATGGGTGGTTTTACTGAGAGGTTAGATCATGGATTTGTATAGGGTGATTTGAACAGGGCTGATCCTATTCCTCAGGCAGGGGGTTGGACTAGTGAGCTATGGGGGTCCCTTGGGTCCCTCCATAGGTCCCTTCCAGCCCTACTTCTCCATGAGTCCATGACAGGTAGCTCGCTAGCTAGCTGGATGGATGGATGCACAGACAGGCAGACAGATGTGCGGATGGACAGGCGGACGGACGTGCAGCTAGCTAGCTAGCTAGAGAATGAACTCCGGTAGGCCCTGCGCTCCTCTTGTGCGGGGGCGATGGGGACGGTGGTTGTGAGGGAGCCCCTGGATGAGGCGGCAGGGCAGGGCGGGCGTCTCAGCCGGACTCCCACGTTCGGCGGTTCCCAGTTTCGTGGCTGAGGCAACACTGCCACCTCGTGGGTTTCCATTTCCCACCGGCTGCCTCCCGTGTCCACTGCGCCCTGCGCGGCGCGGCCTGAAGGACAGGAGACGAGACAACACCGTTTATTTCTACACCATGTCCTCTACCCCCGACCTGGGGCCTCCCCAGCCCGGCAAAAGAAAGGACCGATTCTGGAAGGGCGAGAGCAGGAGAGCGGCTGGGAGATCTTGGGGGCTAGGCTGCATTTAATCGATAACGTTTTCACCCCATAGGAAATAAATCCTCCCTGGTGGCACGGAGGCAGCGAACGCCCTCCGCTCGGGGGAGTGACTCGTCTGATGGCAGAGCCATGGCCTGTCTCCATCACAGCTCCACACCCTATTTCTAGTCCCTGACACCGGAGACCGCCTCTGGCCTCCACTGCTGGCAGCTCCTCCGGACAGTCTGGGCCACAGCTGCTACCTGCAGGTCCCTGCCCGGGGCACTCTGCTCCCAATCTGCCTGTCCCGCTGCCCTCGTGCCGTGCTCTTGGCCACACTTCCCCCAGAAGATTTCTCTGCCGCCACCTCCAAGGGAGTCTGCGTGTCTGCAAAGGGGTCTCGCTGCTGGCTGCAATTCAGGGTGGCTGCCCACGCAGGTCTGGAGGGGCCCTGGGGCCTGACGGTGGGACACAATCCTCCTTCCCTCCCGCACGTCCCCACCAGGTCCCTTTAATGCCTCGTACCACAGGGGTCGGCCGTGGGGAAGCCTGGCAGCCCTCCCCGACCATGGGACTGTCCTGCAGGCCAGAAATCCTGCAGAGACCCCCTAATTAACACCTCCTCCATCGCTCCTGCCTCTTCCCTTCATTCGCCTTAGTGACTGCAGTCTTCTCGGGACCAGTCTGGTACATTGGTCATTCCCTGTACACCCGACGGGCATTTGACCACAATTTGTCCCGTATGAAATGAGCAGAGAACGTTAGGCTGAGAAAGCAGCTGCTGGGCAGCAGCTTTGAAACGGTGGTTGTTAATAGGAAGGTAATTGCACCCCCTTCTCCTCCTGGGACTCAGGGAAGTGAGCTGCAACCCCTCCAAGGAGACGCGGCACTTCAGAGACCTGGACCAAGAGCAACACGGCGGCTTCTGCCAGGTCGGTGCTGTCAGGAGCAGGTGGCAACAGTCTCACCCCACAACGTGTCGCATCGGACAGCCGGGAAGGTGAACGTGTGCGTGGCTGGCGAGATGATCAAAAGGCGCGTGCAAACTGCTGGCAGCTCCATACTTCTATGGCCATGGAGAAAAGGACAGCCATGCAGCTCTCGCGGTCACCGGAGATGCTCCCAGAACAGGCAGGGCTAGGCAGAGGAGTTGAGAAGGACAAGGATCCAGGCACGGAGCTGGGCCGGGGCTTTGTGCCGGGGGGGCACTGCCGGGAGACTCTGCCTGCATCTGCTGCGGCTCGGAGGCTAACTTTAGGGCTTTTGCTGACCACGCTGTTCCAGCAGCTTTGTGCAAAGCAGGGAAAAGCCCCAAAAGGGGAAATGAGCAGGGAAGTGAAACCCAGCAGCTTCTGCCCTGGACCTGCAAGAGCCCCCAGCGGATCTCCCCCTCCCCACTCTCCTCTTCCTTCCTCCTCTCCGGGGAAGGCTGAGAGCCAGCAGAGCCACCTGCCTGGAAAGCTCCAGCCGCTGCTTCGGGAGAGGTAAGTCGGTCTCTGCCTCCAGCCCACGCTGTCCCCAGGCCAGGACTCCCCATGCCCCAGGCTGCCGGCCTCCTTTTACCCTAGGGCTCTGCAACAGGGCTGCCGACACCGCTCCCCGCCAATGTGCAGCTTCTCCTTGCAATCCCTGCTCTGCACTGTCTCTGTGGACTGGGGAAAGCCGCTTCTGCCCCAGTCTGGCCCCCATTTTCTCTCCTCGAGCCCAAACACAGCTCTGAGAGCAATACGGTGCAGGGCACGTCCAGCTCAGATCGGTCCTGTGCACCGGAGGCAAAGATCCTGCTCAGGTCCGGATGGGGCCGGAGGGGTACGAGTTGGGTCTGAGCACGTGTGTGTGTGTGTGTGCGCACATGTGTCTGTATGCCGTTGTCTGCATAGTTTCATAGTTTCATAGAAACTATGCAGACAACTATGTCGCTGTGCGTGCATTTACAACCCCAGCTTTGTCTGTCCACATGCATCTGGTTGTCCGGCCTCAGGGGTCCTTGCTCCCCCATGCTCTGCCATCTCCATGGGGCCGTTGGTGTCCGTGGCTGGAAGCGACAGGGTCCCAACCCTACACCTTGCCCTGTGGGGCTCTTGTTCTTGCAGAGGCAAAATGGGTGGCAGCTTCTGGCTGGTGGCCGGCGCCCTGGCCACGATCCTGGGCACTGTCCTTCCTCAGGAGAACATGTGCCGAGCGCCAGATGGCAAAGACGGCTACCCAGGAGTCCCTGGCCTGGACGGGAGGCCAGGCCAGAAAGGTGACATTGGAGCCCCAGGTAAGACGTGAGCTGGAGCTGACGGGGCTGGGAGCACAGGTCGCCCCTGGGACTTTGTTGCTGCCCTGAGCGGAGGATAGCCTGGCCTGGCCAGCACACCACCGGTGGGGGAGCTGGGGGCAATGGACCAGGATGGCTCGGAGGGGCAGGGGCAGGGGCATGAGCTGGGAAGGGCTTGTGGAGTGGTGTGTGGCACTTAGGCCAAGGCTGGGTCATCATCCACCTGCTCTTTGTCTTCCAGGGCTGCCAGGAAGAAGGACCGGGATCAAGGGAGCCAAAGGGGATGCTGGGGAACCTGGGCTGCCTGGAAACCCAGGGAGCCAGGGCTACCGAGGCCTGAACGGCCCCCCTGGACTTGCAGGCGAGCCAGGGCAGCCGGGCACCAAGGGCAAGGTGGGCAATATCCGGGACCAGAGACGCCCAGCCTTCTCCGCCTCCAGGAAGAGCCCGCCATCCCATGGGAACACCGTGGTCTTCGACAACGTCATCACCGACCAGGATCGCAACTACAACGCACAGACAGGGCGCTTCACCTGCACCACCCCGGGCTACTACTACTTCACCTTCCAGGTGATCTCCAACGGGAACCTGTGTCTCAGCCTGGTCAAGGGTGGCACCAAGGTGGTCAGCTTCTGTGACAACAACAGCCGCGGCCTGCTACAGGTGAACTCGGGGGGCAGCGTGCTCAGCCTGGTGGCGCAGGACCAGGTCTGGATTGAGAGCGACCCGCACAACGGGAACCGGGTGTTCGACAGCGCCGAGGCCGACAGTGTCTTTAGCGGCTTCATGGTGTTCCCGCAGAGGGAGTGATGGACTGCCCCCACACTGCTACCTAGCCCCCACCCACGCAGCTTCATCAAGCCCCCTGCAATAGCAAAGAAACCCAGGTCTTAGCAAGAAACTGCAGCTTAGTGCCCTGGCCTGAGGGCACCACGCACGTGCGTATTTGTGGGAGAGAGGAACGTGCAAGGAGAGGGACAGGGGAGTCTGGACAGACGCCTGCTGCCCCCCCTTGGTTGGGGGTCACCGTATAACTTAGCAGCCGAATGCGGGGCTGTGCGAAGCGTGGCCAAAGCCGTGCCCGCCCGCCTGGCAGCAGAGCTCAGTGCCCGGGCACACCGCATGGGGTGGGAGGATGCAAGGTGCCTGCTGGGTGGGGATGCTGATGGGGACAGGCTGAGCTCCCAAGGGCCTGTTTGGCAATACTGTGCTGCTACAATAGGTTGCTAAAGCACCCAGCTGGGAGGGGCAAGAGGCCAGGTCCTGCTCCACTGACGTCAAAGGACCCCGGCTTTGGTCCTACGTGCTTGCCATGCCTGGCAGATTCAGAGCCGTGCCATCGCATGCGATGGGATGGCTCGGGTGCGAGTCAGAAAGCCTCCCATGCTTAGCACTGCCCCGTTGCGGTCCTTAAAGATTTTTCTTTCTAATTGGCAAGAACCAGGGGCCACGGCATGGGGCAATGGGCAGCTAATGCTTTAAGCCACATGGATCAGCATCCCAGCCGTAAGGGCCACGCGGGGCCCTTGAAGGACCAGCGAGCTGGTCAGCTGGCTCCGTTGCTCATCCCCGTGTCAGGACTCAGCCCCGGGCTCCAGCAGACAGACTTGGCAGGTGTCTTGCACTTGACCCAAGTTTTGTTCCCAAGTCTACCATGGCAAATCTAGAGTCACCCCATTGACACCAGTGGATTTACTCCAGATTTATACTGGCGGTGAGGGAGGAGACTTTTCCCTTAACCCCTCATTGACCACAGAGGTACATACGTGACAGCGCAGGATGCAGCTATGCCACTACCCCCGGGCTGTTGTCGGGGCTTTCTGCCAATGTGTAGTAGCCATGAGACGGGCTCCACATACGTGGCAATAATCCTGCACCTGCTGCAGCAGACAGCAGCCAGGATAGGACCTCACGTACTACAGCACCTGTCTCCTTTGGTACCACCGTGCCTACCCTACCCATCTCTCTCACACACTCACGCACCTTAGTGCACAGAGCCCTGGGATGGAGCAAGAGCCCATTTCATCCCCTGTCCCGACCTGGGTTAGAAGTGCTGAGCAGGTGAGACCCCCAAATGTGCTGCCCAGAGCTTCATCACGGGAACGACTCATCTCCCAGCTGCTGCTTCACAGCCACGGGTCTGAGTGCATATCTCCATGGGTGGCTCCGGGGAAAGCGCTGTCCCTAATGTGGACGTGGTTGGCTAAGGAAGCCGTGCCAGGGGGTACGGGGCAGTGACAGACACGGGCTATCTTTGCTGGGAGGCCGGGTGCTCCGGGCTCAGGGGCTTGCAATCCCAGCTAGCAGCCTGGGAAGCAGCATCTAATCCTCCCGCCAGCACCCCTGCATCTCCACATGTGGCATGCAGTGCTGATGGGCACGTGCCAGCTGCAGGACAGCAGCAGCAAGGGCCTTGCTAGGGGTCAGTGGCACACAAAACCCCTGGCAGCTGTCCTGCATCTCCCCCATGGAAAGAGGGCTTTCACGTAGTACCGCACGCTGTGTCCAGGCCTCATCCCCTTCCCTGGAGACAGCATGTTCCTCCGTAACAGTGCAGGGATGCTTGGCTCTCCCAGGTGTGAGAGCGACCCGCATCCTCCCCGTGCTCTGAGACACAGTGCCAAACAGGATCAGCTGTCACCAGTGCCATCGTCCAGCCTTTATTCTCTGGAAGGGACTTGCTGGAGAGGCTGACTCCCGCTGTATGAAGCCTTGCAGACGAGGAGCTGGCTCCAGCCGCTCCTGCCTTTCACACCCTTCCAATGAACACAGACAAATAAATGTCCCCTTGCTGGCTTGCTTTTCCATCCAGTGTCTTGGCTCTTCTGTCCTATTCACACATCTGCGTGGCACCGTCAGTGTCCCGGGCACATTCCCAAAACCATTTCCATGTCATCCCATCTGCGTCTTGAATAGCAGCGGCCTAGAGAGCAAAGGGAGGGAGGCCTCCGGGCTCGAGCTTGCCAGTCTTTGCAGACACTGCCCAGCCTCAGCCCCCATCCCAATATTGTCAAATGAGTTCATGCTCAGAGTGCACCGTCCCGGAGGAGGTCCCAGGAGCCAGTGCTTGGAGGGAGGTTTCTCCCCAGGGCCGTGTAAGGGACACCTGGGCCGGGTCTGCCCTTCACAGCCCCCAGGCCCAAAGCAGGCAGCAGACAGATGTGCAGCTGCAGGATGGGGACTTGGGGATGGGAAAGGGCGAGACTGCCTGTTACACCGCACACAGCAGAGTCCCTGCTCCTCCCCATGGGCTGCAGCACGGAGACAGGGCAAGAAGGCAGGTGGGCCGGGTGCAAGAGTCTCCTGGAGGAAACCCTCTTCTCCTTCGCGACTGGGACAAAGCCATCAGCTAGCACAACGGGGCACTGATCCAGATTGGGTCCTGCCTCAGCATGCATGGACCTGGCTCCCTTCTGCTCCAGAGCCTTTGCTCCCCCTTGTCCCAGCGACTCTCTTTCCCGGAGATAGCACCTGGATCTGTGCAGCCCCGGCTCCAGGCTGGCAGGTGGGGAGCAGGATCCGCGTGCACAGGGCAACTTCTCTAAGAGGATAACCCATGCCAGGCTGCAAAGAGGGAAAAGGGTGCAGCCTGCCACTCCCTGCAAGGGGGCTGCAAAGAGGATGGAGCTGGGCTGGTCTCAGTGGGGGCAGGTGACAGGACAAGGAGCAATGGGCTCAAGTTGCAGCAAGGGAGGTTTAGGTTGGATATTAGGAAAAACTCTCTCACTAAATAAAACACTGGAACAGGCTCCCCGGAGAGGTGGGGGAGTCTCCATCCTTGCTGGTCTTGAAGACCCGGGTAGACAAAGCCTTGGCTGGGACGATGTAGTTGGGGCTGGTCCTGCTTGGAGCAGAGGGTTGGACTAGATGCGATCTCCTGAGCTCCCTTCCGCCCTCATTTTCTGATTGTCTGAATAACACTGGAGCCGAGCCCTTGACCACGGGCCCCCTGTAGCTCGGCCCCACGGACATCCGGCCGCAGGCAGAGCTGGGCCAGGGCAGAGGGCACTCAATCCCGGACCCTCGCGGGGCAGCAGGGCTGAGCAGGGGGTTGCTGGGAAGCCACATATCTACCTCGTTTGATACCTGGGAGTACCTGGCCTCAAGCCCCTGGTTATTTGCCTGGGGTCCCTGCCAGGCAGGTGGCTTGCTCCCTCCAAGGCGGGCTGGGCTGCAGATGGCCAGAGTGGCAATGAAAGGCACGAGGCCGGGGGAGCATAATGCCCACTGAGAGCCCCCCACCTCACCCCTGCAGTGGGCTGGGTGGCCGCAGTGGTCCCGGGTTTCCAAGCAGTGCTGTTGGGACATCACCTCCCGGCAGTCTGTAGGGTTGTGTCCTCTCGCAGCTGCCTCCAGGGCCCCCGTTTTTGCCCTGCCCGGTGCTCTGTGCAGGGGGGAGGGCTGAGAAGGGCCCAGCCCCAAGGAAAGTGCTTGCTCCGAAGAAACAGGCAGGCAAGGGGGAAGTAAAACCTGGCCGGGGACCCAGCGAGTGGCTGCTCCTCCCCGCGGGCCCGCTCCTGGCTGCAGCTGGCCACCAACTTCCTCCTTGCAGCAGCAGAGCCTCGCACGGCACGGCACGGCACGCTGACCAGCAGCCCGCGGCACGCCGAGCTCCCTGCACAGGGCCGGACCGCACAGGTAAGAGGCGGCTCCAGCCGGGGTATTCCCTGCATTCCCTCTGGCTCCTTATATGAGGGGCATTGCCTTGACCGCAGGCCTCGAGCGTGGCTGTGGATGGCTGCTTTTGGCTGGTCTTCAGCAGGACGATGCCTGGAGTGGCCAGTGCTCCGGTCCCAGGCTCTGGGCAAAGGTCTTGCTCCACCTCAGGCTTTCTGTGTGTGGCTCAGCCCAAGTGCGTGGGGTGGCAAGCCCCCTGCGGAGGCTACTGGGGGGCAAGGGGCTGGCTGGTGGCCCTCTACACACAGATAGGGGCACAGGAGACAGCAGGGCTGCTTCCACAGGGCCGTGCAAGACCAGGATGGTGTCCTGGACCGATGCTTGTTATGCCCCTGGCATTAAGAGGAGTCTCCGACCACTGCGTTGGTACCAGGAGGACCAGCTCTGTGACCCCAAGGTCAATGCCGCTGGCGGCCTCAGCTCTACTGCCACCGCATAGCTTCCACGGGACCAGACCCGCTGCCCCCAGAGTCCTGGCAGGGCTTTGTGGGGTGCAGCCCAGCACAGCACAGCACAGCGGGGCAAGGGTGCTCTGGCCAGGGAAGGCTCAGGCCTAGGGCCTGGGACCGGCCTCCATCGTTTCAGTGCATCCAAACCAATTCCAACCAGGAACACGCGGAAGTGGAGGAGCCCCAGGCAGGCCCCGGATCCCGGTGTGCACGACCCGGCCCACCGCAATCACTGCACCCCTCTCCGCAGGCAGACCGGCCCCTCCGGCCTCTTCCACGTTGCCTGCCGGCAGTTGTGTGCCCGGGGAGTTGAAGTGACAGGAGGGAAGGGGCTGCAGAGATAGGCAAGAGCACTTCCCAAGGGTGGCCCTTCTCTGGCTGACAGCAGGGTGCCTTGGCGGTGCATCTCCCAGCCACGTCCCCAGCCTGCCTGTGCCTCCACTGTCCTGCACCCCAGCACCCGTCTTCTTTCCACTCTCTACAGGAGCAATATGGGTAAGGGTCTCTGGGACGCCCTGGGCCTGGGCTTGGCCCTTCTCCTCCTGGCTCCGGAGATGGCAGTGGAAGCGGAGGCTCCCCACAACTGCTACGGGACCCCTGGGCTGCCCGGCAATCCCGGCATGCCAGGCAAGGATGGCAGAGATGGACAGAAAGGAGCCAAAGGGGAGCCGGGTAAGTGCCCTGTGGCAAAACTCACCTGGGAGCACCTGGGAGAGCCTCAGAAGCTGTTTGAGGCCCACCGATCTCAGCAGGTGAGGTCTGTATCCCTCTGGTCAGACACTCAGAGGGACAAAGCCCAGGACCAGGGGAGGGGGCAATCCTACCATCCAGGGCTCCCATGCACGGGGCAGGCACGGTAGGAGTAGTGCCAGTAACTCCATGCCAGGTCCTTCCTGGAGCAGCCCAGCAGCAGTGCCCGGGCGCTGGACCTGAGCTGGGCGGGTTATCTGCCCTTTGCAGACCCAGGAGCAGTAGGGAGCTGCCCCAGGCAATGGGGGATGAGGCTGCACACATCCTGTCCCAGTGCACGGAGCAGACAGGACCTTTCCTCTGGTCCTGCTGCTTGGTCCTAACTGAGTCCTCTGAACCCCCACAGGCATCCCAGCCATTTCCAGGACCCAGGGGCCCAAGGGGCTGAAAGGAGAGCCTGGCATTCCTGGCCTGCCTGGGAAGACTGGTCCCGTGGGCCCCTCTGGCATCCCAGGAGACCCCGGGGAACCGGGCTTGGACGGAGAGCCTGGCGATCCTGGCAGCTACCGGCAGAGGCACCAGGCGGCATTCTCCGTGACCCGGCAAACACCCCAGCACCCGGCCAAGAACACCCCCGTGGTCTTCAACCACGTCATCACCAACATCAACAATGACTACAACACCGCCACCGGCAAGTTCACCTGCCGCGTGCCAGGCCTCTACTACTTCACCTTCCATGCCTCCCAGACTGCCAACCTCTGCGTCATCCTGTACAAGAACAGGGAGAAGGTGGCCAGCTTCTGCGACCACATCTCCAACAGCAAGCAAGTCAGCTCCGGAGGCATCCTCCTGAAAATGGAGGCTGGGCACCAAACGTGGCTGGCCGTCAACGACTACAACGGCATGGTGGGCATTGGTGGCTCTGACAGCATCTTCTCTGGCTTCCTGCTCTTTCCAGACTAGGTGGCCTGGACAAGCCCGGGCAGATGCTGGCGGACTGCAAACATGCCAGCCTCCTTGCCTTGCAATGCACCCCTTGGCTCGCACCCTGCCTCGCGCTGTCTTGGAAGTGGACCCAGGTCTCTGCTCAGGGCCCGCAGGCTGCAGGTTTCTACCCAGGGCCTGGCAGCCTCTGGGAAGGGCTCAGAGCCCTGCATCCACCCAGAACAATCCTGCCCAAATGCAGAAACAAGCCAAGGCCCTGGGGTTGGAGCATGTGTAGCTCGAGGGCCGTCAGGTGTGACACATGGGGCGAGTCTCTGGCCCTGCCTAGCAAGAGGCCAGCCCATAAAAGCTCCATTGCTACTGCTAAACCCAGCCACGCCTAATTACTACTGTGCTCTTTGCATTCATTAACCCCCCTTCTTTCAAGTGCTGAAGCCACCTCTGGGGTCTCTCCACTTAACCGAGAGGGTCATGGACTATGACCACACGCGGCCTGGGGGGAACTGGAGAGGAAACTTTTTCCCGTGGTTCATCTGTGCAAGCGCTGAATAAATCCTTTTCTGCACCGGGCAGGTGCTATCTTGTGTTTGTCTGAGCCCAGCGTGTGTGTGTGCACGTACACACGTTACATGTGCATATGCATGTTTGTGCACATGTGGTGGCACCAGTGTCCACAGCCGCTGGACACCTGTGGTTGAAGGGGTGGGTGGGCACCACTGGGGGAGACCGCCTTGTTTCAAAGCCAAAAACAGTGCAGCTGAGGGTGGGCAGGACAGTGGTGCAGCCTGTAACAGGCCAGTTCCTCGGCTGGGAGCCAAGTCTGGAAATCCAAGAAAAAAAAGCCATGTTTGGGGTCAAACCAAACCCATTTCTTTGCCCTGAATTTTTGGCAAATCAAAACCTATTTGTTTCGGGTGGAAGAAAACTTTCGCTCAACCTAAAGCGAATTGTTTCACGTTCAGGATTATATATATATTTTTTTTTAAATAAAAATACAGAGCTGGATTCTCAAGGGGCGGGAGGCCGAGGGCACGTGACCAAGTGGA